CCTTCTCCAGGGCTCCTCACACAAGCCCCGGGCTCTGCAGCCCTGAGCTTATTTCGTAGCACCAGAAGCGTTGCCTCTCCAGTAGCACGGCAGTGAATTAAAAACCTTGATGGTATCCTTGTTAAAATCAGCAGAAGACCTCCCTGTGATGTATGATTTGGCCTGGGTTGCGCTTGTCCCCCTCCGTTTGATTCCAGGGCTGCTTTGCCGCTTGCATCCTAAATGCTTGGAAAAAAAAAAAAAAATCCCCTGTAATTCGGCGCGGTGCAAAGGCTCTGTCATTCTTGGGCTGTAATTAAGCAAATCGGGCATATGCTTAATTTCAGCAGCTTGCCAAATTAGAGCCTTTCTGACCGCTCTGGCCCTTGGAAGAGGATCGTTTCTCCTCCGCTGGCACCATCCTTAATGCCGGGGACGGCCTTAGCAGAGCAGGCTGCAGACCTGAATGTGTGTTTAGGCAAATGTGCTGTTATTTGATCGCTGCTAGAATACAGCGTGGGGATGAAGGCGAGATGTGAGAGGCAGAGGAAGGTTGCCCATGGTCAAGGAGCATCCTGACCCTCTCCAGGACCCGTTGCCCTCACGCTGCCTGGGTTTATTTCCCCTTACAGGCGTTGGATGGCTTCTTCTTCGTCGTGAACCGCGAAGGGAGGATCGTCTTCGTCTCCGAGAACGTGACCAGCTACCTGGGTTATAACCAGGAGGAGCTGATGAACACCAGCGTCTACAGCATCCTGCACGTGGGGGATCACGCCGAGTTCGTCAAGAACTTGTTGCCGAAGTCTCTAGGTAAGGAAACCTTTGAGGTGGGTTTTTTAATCAGTCGGTGCTTGGAGAGCGCTGTCGAGAATGCTGTTGTGTGTTCAGTGAAGCTGGCCTTATATTGAGTTTTATGTGTGTTATTTATATATGTTATTAATATTGTTTACTGTGAAATTCAGAGATGTACCCAAGCTGGGTAATAATCCATAAACCTTTGCCTAGCGAAATACATCCTACCAGTGAGATGTCAATATTAGATTTTTAATAAGCAGCTAGCTGGTGGATGACACTATTCAAGTCATCTTCCCTTTGTCTTTCTCTACTAAGACAACTTTTTGCCTTCGACTTTGGCACATAGGTGGGAAGAACTGACTTGCCTGCCCAAAACGAGGGGCACACGTCGGAGCTTTAGGGAAATGAGGAGGAAGATTTCGAGGTGTTGGTTTGGGGGCAGGGACTGAGCCCATTGGCTTATCCCAGTTCATTTTAGATGTCCTCCCAGCTGGAGGGGGGTTGTCCCCAGCTGGTTTCAGAGCCCAAGTATCTACCACGGGGTTATGCTGCCCCTCGGGGTGCAAGGAGGGGTCGCGGAGCCGGGCAAACGAACCATTGTGAGGGTGGGAGGAAGCGTCGCGCGGTGAAGGCGCTTGCGGGGTGTCGGAAGCGACGGAAGCAGAAGGTTTTGTTCGTTGAGGTGAGCATCCTCGGGGTGGCTGATAGGGGGGAGACATCCCTGGTCCCTCATCCACTCACACCTTTGAAGAAAGGAAGATAAGCCTTTTCCAAGCAGCTTGACTTAAAAATAGGGGTAGGTTTTTTTTGAAATTCACACTTCTCTTCCTTCTGGGCAAACACAATGATGTCTTAAACCACTCAAATCCAGGGGCCCTCATCAGATTGAGCCTACAGAGGTTCAGGCATCATCTTTCCCCTTTGGTTACCCAGTCTAAGACTGTGTGTTTTGTCTTTGCTTGGATGTTACAAGCCCCTCAGCTCTTCTCGTAGATCAGAAATGAAAGCTTCATAATCTGCTGGTGGCAAAATCACTTGGGTCGCATACAGATATCCACAAAGCTGTTGTAGCGGGTTGGAAAAAGCAGCCAAGTGGTGCCCAGAGGGTTTTTTGGAAAAAGCCAGGTTATAGAAAAAATTCAAAGGGGAAGGTTTTTGCTGCGGCGGTACCGGGAGATCTCGCTGCTGACTTAACCCAGAAACGAGGAGGAAGTAAAGAAAAGATTCATTTCCATGGAGCTGCTCAGCTGGACTTGCTGGAGAAGTCCTGGGAGCGTCTGCTGTAGCAGGGGGGTTGGACTAGATGGTCTCCAGAGGTCCCTTCCAACCGCCACCATTCTGTGATTCTGTCACTTCGGAGGGATTTCAAGTATAACAGCAAGAGGCAGGAGTCTTCCCGAGCTCTGGAGGTGACTCAGAGCCCCCCCCGCCTCAGGTTCCCTGCCTGTAAGATGGAAATAAAAGCACCCGCCAGCGATGTAAGGAGCAATTCGTAAATGTCAGCTCAGTGACTCTCACGACAACGTGTTGATCTCATTTGGGGTTGTAGGGGCTCTTAGGGCCCGACTGGGCGTGAGGGTCTGGGCACGGGGTCTTCAGCAGGTCCAAAGGAGCCCCAGGGGGCTGGTGGAGAGGGCTCCACCCTTGGCTTTGCTCTTGGCTGACCTGGGCAGCGAGCCTGCTGTCTTCCCCCGTGCTGTCGCCTTTCCTTCTGTCCCCGTATCCGAGGGGTCCTTGGGAAGGCAGGGGGGCTGTGTGCAGGGCACAGCTCCCTACAGCTCCTCTTCTCCTTTCTCCATCCCCCAGTCAACGGAGTTCCTTGGCCTCAAGAAGCGACCAGGCGCAACAGCCACACCTTCAGCTGCAGGATGCTGATCCGGCCGCCGGACGAGCCGGGCGCGGAGAACCAGGAGGCCCGTCAGCGCTACGAGGTGATGCAGTGCTTCACCGTCTCCCAGCCCAAGTCCTTCAAGGAGGAAGGAGAAGGTAGGGGAGAGCATCCTCTGCTTCCCACCCTGCGTTCCGGGCGGGGAGGGCAGGACAGGCAGGAGGAGGACAAGGTGGGGATGGCAGTGCGGGCAAGAGGACCAGGGTAGGGACAGCAGTGCAGGCAGGAGGAAGAGTGGGATGGGGCTGGCAGTGCAGGCAGGAGGAGGACCAGGGGGGTCAGGGCAGGCAGGAGGAGGACTGGGGTGGAGATGGCAGTGCAGGCAGGAGGATCTTGAATGGGGATGGAAGGGCAGGCAGGAGGAAGAGCAGGATGGGAATGGCAGCGCAGGAGGAGGGCTGGAGTGGAGATGGCAGTGCAGGCAGGAGGAGGACAAGGTGGGGATGGCAGTGTGGGCAGGTGGAGTGTGGTGGGGATGGCAGGGCAGGCAGGAGGACCAGAGTGGAGAGAGGACTGTAGGCAGGAGGAGCAGGGTAGGGGCAGCAGGGCAGGCAGGAGGAGGACTGGGGTGGGGATAGCAGTGCAGGCAGGGGGGAGGGGGGGATGGGGC